CCGTGACGTGCTTGGGTTTAGGGTCTACGGTACAGGGCTTTGGGATTTTGTTGCCAGGCTGGAGTCCATGGAGCCGATAACCCTAAACCCCTAAACCCTAAACCCCTAAACCCTAAACCCCTAAACCCTAAAGCCATAAACCCCAAAACTCCTAAATCCTAGATGACCGACGCCCACAGCTGATCCATTGAAGCGGTTCTGGAGCAGCTCATGGTGCACCAAAGGAGTACAGCCAGCAGTGTACCAGCACTACCCGATGCAAGCGACGTGGCTGCCAGAGCGTAATGTGCAGGGTAAGATTTGTGAAATAATCTACAGCTTAGTCCTCAGATGCCCTCAGAGCCTTCCAACTATTATGATGAACTAAACCCTAAACCCTAAACCCTAAACCGACTTCTACTATGCAACAGAAGTTAAGAAGCCTTTCGCAGCCCTGGGCCGCAAAAACACAGACGGTGCCCAACAAATCCTGCGCCAAACAAGATGTAAGGGTTTAGGGTTTAGGGTTTAGGGTTTAGGATAAGTCTTTGGCACGCAAGTTTGACAGAGGCCGTCGAACAGAAATGCAAGTCAAAGCCTGTTTCCTCATGCGCTCCCTGCACTTCGTTTGAGGTGTCCAAAAATAGTAGAGACCAAAGGGGCCGGTCCTTCGACGTTGCCACACATGGCTTTCTCTCATGTGTGCAACGATTGGCTCAACAAGCTCCAACCAAACGCGCCCTTCATCACACGGGGTGGTCCCGTATTTGGAAGGACTGACACACTTCGCACGAATTCCACGATGCCACTTCCGCCAGTTGTAGTGGCCTCTGTCGACAAACAAGCCAGAACTGCAACTGACGGCGAACCCTAAACCCTAAACCCACAGGGGTTTTACAGGGTTTACAGGGTGAAAAATGCCGGTTTCATCTAGGGCTATACGGGACATGATTTTCAAGCTGTTCAAGTCTCTATACCGGTCTTATCCTAGCGACATTGGGGAATCTATGGCGCTGCCGATTGAATCAACTCTACCCGGAATGACTAAACAACCAGTGGCCACGACTTTGAACCCTGAACAAACTCTAAACGCCATCACAAATGAACCTCAAGTGAAACCCCAAACCCTAACCAAATCCTCAAGAAAGACATATATAGAAATTGCTTGTCGCTGTTGGCCAGCGCAGCCCGGACGGGCCGTGAAGTACGGCGGGTTTCTCTCGAGCGGTCGGGCATCCAATTTCTGTAAACCAATTTCCGTTTCGGAGATACCTGGCCAAGCCCGCACAGCCCTGCCCAGCCCAGCCTAGCTTTCGGTCAAAACGTTATTGGCACCCAAACCCTAAACCCTAAACCCTTAACCCTAAACCCTTAACCCTAAACCCTTAACCCTCAACCCTCAACCCTCAACCCTCAACCCTAAACCCTTCACCCTAATCCCTTAGCCCTAAACCCTTTAACGACACAACAAATACTGCCTGGTGTCAGCCCAAAAGCTCTTAACCCGAAAGCGAAGTTTAGGGTTTAGGGTTTAGGGTTTAGGGAAAAGCCTAAACACAGCGCAAGACACAGGGGTAAAAATGCGGTCTCGAGGTATACTACTGCAGGGGCGCTAGTACTTAGAATAGGGTTTTGGGAGTGTATTATACTCTAACTATAAAAAAAGGAACCCCCAAACCAGTATAGGTAAAACCCTAAGCCCTAAACCCAATAGTATAGGCAATTATCAAGGCCCCTATGTTTTATGCAAAACGATCCTAGCTGATAACATTGCTGGCTGTGGCGACCCCTAGAAAGAAGCCCAAAGCCGTACACCCTACACTCTAAACCCTAGTTTAAGTTCTGTCCTATCTTTGTGCCTGTCTATCTGTCGCTCTGTCTCTGTGTCTATCTATCTCTGTGTCTATCTGTCTATCTATCTCTCTGTCTATCTATCTATCTATCTATCTATCTATCTGTTTATCTATATATCTACCTAGAAAGAGAGAGATAGATAGAGAGTTATATAACCCCAAACCCGAAAACGCAGCCAATCAGCAGCCTCAATAAGCTCCTCTGTCAGGAGCGCGGGCGCTCGGTTTCGAGCAAGTCTGCATCGGGCCTGTCGTGCAGGTCCTCAGAGTTCAGGGGTTAGGGGTTTAGGGTTTAGGGTTTAGGGTTTAGGGGTTTAGGGTTTAGGGTTTAGGGGTTTAGGGTTTAGGGTCTAGGGGGGGGGTTTGGGTTTAGGGGTTTTGGGGGTTAGGGGTTTAAGGTTTAGGGTTGAGGGTGGGCCCTCCTATTGCAACCTCAAACAAAGGTATCGGTATCTGGTCCCGAACATTGGTATGTGGGGTCTAAACGAGGTTAGATACGAGGGTAGCTAGAGGGTGGAGACAGGATTGTCAGACTTCGCATCTAGGCTTCCTTCCGGGGTTCCTTGAAGTGGTCGGCTCGATGATCAGGTTTCTGTACAGGGGTTTCGGGACCTTTCAAAGGCTAAACCCTTAACCCTTAACCCTCAACCATGGGACGTGGTAACCAGGGCACTCCAGACCCCTACTTACCAAGTCCCCTGAAATCTCTAAACCTTAAACCCTACACCCCATGAACAGGGTGAGATCACCTTGGCGCAGTTCGCCTTGAACCATAGCTTTTAGATCGCAAGCCCAAGCAATTGTAGACACATGATTTATAAACCCCGCTCCGATAGAAATATCTATCTATCTATCTATCTACCTACCTATCTATCTATATGCATATATCATATCATATATATATATACACACAGGGATCCGAATCTTAGGAACCTTGCAGAAATGGAGGTTATTCTGGGGTCTGCAGTACCACCAAAAATCCTGGCACTCGAAACCGGAAATCCCCAGCTCTAAACACCAACACCCTAGATCCAAGACAAGGAGAGTTTTTAAGGAGGGTTTAGGGTTTAGGGGTTTAGGGGTTTAGGGTTTAGGGTTTACGGTTTAAGGGTTTAGGGGTTTAGGGTTTAAGGTTTCGGGTTTTTTCATCCAAAAGCAAAACCGAAACTCGCGCAGATCGGGTGACACATCTGGCTGTGTCTGCAGCCAGGGATCCAGAAGAAGGCCCTCAATGACCTGAGCCGGGGCTTATGAGCTCTTTTTTGAGAATTCGGGGTTTAGGGTTTAGGGTTTAGGGGTTTAGGGCTTAGGAGGGGTTTATGAGTTTATGAGCTCTTTAGGAGAAATCACCCAGACATAACTCTTCCGGCCGAGCCGCTGGTTTCAGTAGGTTTGTTGGTAGCCGGTGCTTGCTGTCAGCTCTCCCTAAACCCTAAACCCTAAATCCCTAAACCCTAAACCCAAAATTGTCAACCCACATAGACCTGGCCCATCCGCATATGAGGGGGACTTTAGCTTCGAGAAGCTGACGGAATGGCCCAAAGGTCTTCTATGGCGATCCTTGCTCTGATTCTGCAGTGTGACCTAAACCCTAAACCCTAAACCGTTTAGGGTTTAGGGTTTAGGATTTAGGGTTCAGGGTTTAGGCCCTAAACCCTAAACCCGAAGGAAGAAGTGACTCGATAACACTATGCCAAAGTTTTTAGGGTGCAGGGTTCGCGATTTAGGGCTCAGAGGTGAGGGGTTATGGCTCGCAGTCTATAAGGAAAAAGCATATACATTCTCTTGTTTCCCCCTCTGCCGGATAGTTCGGCTGACTTATCATGAAAAGATGGAGGGCTTTTGGCAAACACCGCCTGTGACAGTACAGAAATGTTGGATGGGCCAAGCTCTGTGTTGCTTCTTCTCCTGTGCGCTTTTATCGTTGCGGAATCTGAGCTGTCGAACTGCCTTCGTGATATATGCTGTGCCCAGGCGAACTGAGTAAACTTCTTTCACCGGAAGATTTTGGGGGGTTTTACGGATGCAGGGTGATTGCAGAGGCAACGGGTGTAACACGATTGAAGCACATCTTCATAATTCATAAACTACTTTTTGTATCCCTGCACTTTTCAGCAGACTCAATCACTCCCGATTTTGCCGCAGGCAAGACCGTGAAAACAGAAAACCTCTTAACCCTACATCTGAACCCCCTTCAAACTCTACCTTCGTCGGAGCTGCCGCCCCGAGGCTTGTGGCTTCGCGACGGGACTTTCGAACCTCTTGGGGTTGAACTGGTTGCAGGATTCAGTTGGGCACAAGGTTTGGGATTTCGGTTTCGCTTATGTAGGGTTTAAGGCCGTTTAGGGCGTTTTTGTGACGAGGGATGTCTAGGGCTTCTAGAGTAATCAATGGTATGTGGAGGCGTTGTTCAGGCTCTGCATACACTTCACTGCAGATAGGTGTTTACAGACACCGATGTTTGACTCCACACGGGTCTTCGGCGCGCGGTGGGGGGAGGTCGGGCCTTATGAGAGGAACACGTCTCTCATCCAAGCCCGGCGAACAACCTAAACCCTAAACCCTAAACCCCTAAACCCCTAAACCCCTAAACCCATTAACCCCTAAACCCTAAACCCTAAAGACAGAATCGGCCCCTAGACTTTGATCCCCAAGGCCTCAACCCAAACAGCCCAAGAGCCCCATGCCCGAAAAGGCACCGACATGAAACCCGAACCACCACCCCTGTGTCTAGGGTTTAGGGTTTAGGGTTTAGGGGCCCAAAATCTTAACCCCTAAACCGCGAAACACCTGCAACCCCTGAACCCACAAACCATGACAAACCCTAAACCCTAAACCCTGCAACCCTTAAACCCGAGTCCTTGAGGCATAGCACCCACTCCAGTGGCCCGACCTGCTTCCCCGGCTCTCCGCTCTCTTTCTGTTGGGGGTTTAGGGTTCAGGGCCGTTGTGTTTAGGGGGGCTTTTGGGCTCTGGGATCAGGTTACTAAACCCTAAACCCTAAACCCCTAAACCCGAAACCCTAAACCCCTAAGGAGTGGGGAAGGTCATTTCAGAAAGATCGCCAAGAGCTCCGGGGCTTGGGGCTGTAGAGTGCAGGCCTGCAAAGGATGCTAAGTTCTCCCCAGACTTTAGGCTTTAGGCTTTAGGCTTTAGGGTTTAGGGTTTTAGGGTTTAGCGTTTAGGGTTCAGGAGAAACTCAAACCCTGTTGCTTCCTTCCCCAATAAGCCAGGGAAATAAAATGTTATACTTTCAGGTTACTACGAAGAAAAGAGCCCAACAAATTTAAAGGTTGGGTATTGGAGAACTAGGAACTAGGGTTGCAGTCCGTTGGAGTGCACGAACATCTCGAGCTGCGTTCACCAAGAAGTTTGGAGGCTTGCCAGGCTCTTGTGACTGCCTCGATTTGTAGAGCCCTGCGCCTCTGATCCGAAACTCAAGGGACCCTAAACCCTAATGTAGGGGGCCTTAATAATTAGAATAAGGTGTTGGGTGGTTGTCATACTATAAATATAATCATAAGGAACCCCCCAAAGTAGTATAGGCAATTATTAAGGCCCCTATATTAAACCCTTAAACCCTAAACCCTAAACCCCTAAACCCTAAACCCTAAAAGAGACAGTAGCGGCACCTGGTCTGCCATGATCCAAAGGGCATGGTATACGTTCCGGCGATCCCAGTTGCGTTCGCCCTCCACCGGAGGCCACTGAGTGGTGTGATGCCTAGGTTCCCAAGTAGACCCTTAATAATTAGGGTTTAGGGTTTAGGGTTTAGGGTTTAGGGTTCCTAGGTTCCCCAGTAGACCCTTGAATAATAAGGGTACCCTTGTTCCTACTATTTGGTTTTAATAAGGGAACCCCAAAAGAAGAAAAAGTGCAACAACAATACTAATGGGAAACCGAGATGCCACGACGATGGCGAGTTCAACCCTTGCAACAAGGGCCTCACGTTGATATAGGTGCGCTCCTCGGCGTCGGTGAGAGGATCAGGCAGATGCCATCGTCGGTGACGGACACAAGAGGCAATCGCGAACACGGCCTGCTCCACAGTGGTCCTGAGAGTGCAGAAGACCTATAGAGAAATATAATACAATGGTATATAAGTTACATACATATAACATATACAGAAATGTTTTACATATATTTCTACAATACGTGATGTACAATGTACAACATGACATATGTGATATGTACCAAATCACACGGTAGTATTATACATATATCTATATATATATATATATATATTACAACTGCCATTGATAAAACGGAATACAACATGACATATAATTTCAAATGCATAATCGGGAATATCTAATTTGTACCAAACAAAGTATAATGATGCTCTGGAGATTCCTTTGCACGAGTCTGGCCGAGTTTCCCGGCCGGAAAAGTGAGGTCCAAATCCCTGGAGTCTGCGAAATCTGCGACGACACTTCCTTCCCCAGGGGCATCCCGGGCAGATGCCACGAAGCGCAGGTGCAGGGAGCCCGTAGGGTTCCGCCGTGCGAGGGCCCCGCCGATCAGTGCCAATACCTGGGCCATTTGTTGCATGGAACGTGTGGGCCCTAAACCCTAAGCCCTAAATCCCTAAACCCTAAACCCTAAACCCCTAAGCCCCTAAACCCTAAACTCCTAAACCCTAAACCCGGCTTCGGAGGGCTCAGGGCTCCGGGTCTTGAACAGAAAGCAAGGGAAAATATATGAGCCTGCGCGTCGCGAAAGGCACTTGGGCATGTGTGCATAAACTTGACATGTGTTTTACACGGTTACGGTCAGATATGTTCTGTCAAGCGCTCCTGTGCCGTGCTACACATGCGCAGCGGAAGACTGCCATCTAGACAGTAGCTACTTACACAAGTAACACTGCGTCAGCCTTTTCTTTTGAGCCCTACGTAGGTATGTTAGGTTCAGGGTTCAGGGCATGAGGTTTAGGTTTAGATACAGTTCCAGCCCAATCTTATCAGCTCTTTATTGAGAAAGCCTCCGTATGTTCGATTCTTTTTTGGTTTTTGGAACTAATATCAGTAATAAATAAATAACTCTCTGTCTCTCTCTATATATAGATATAGATTTCTAAATAAGTAACCATGTTTAACAATACGTAAACAGATACGAACAAACCAATAGATACTTCAGTAGGTAAAAAGTCAGTTTGTATGTATGTGTACCTGTACTGTCTATACGTTAGGTTATATGTATTACGACACTTTGTTCTCACCCGATTGGATTCCGTGAATGTGGCCTTACTCCAATAATCCCAAGCATACATAGGCTAATTTGACATGAAATATGCCTCCAAGCATCAAAAATGTCCCCGTTAACATGCTCCAATGCATCTCCCTACTGAATATTTGTTCTGCTGGATTACACTAGCACGAACTTAAATGCCACTCCCAGCCATGAAGAGTTGCTATAAGCTTTTAAGTAGTTAGACCGCAACTGGGCATTGTCAAGACACGAGCATATGACATGCACGCGGGAGTATGGCAATAGTTACAACCAGAACGATCAAACAGCAAACGGATGCCTAAAGACCCACGACTGATAAGGAACTTGTGCAACAATATTGTGGACATGCATGACATAAACGACCGAAAGCACGGCCCCAAAAGCAGTTCCTCAATTTGTATTGTAATAGGAGCCGATGTCCCGGATCCAAACATACAAGCGCACTGTAGGGTTTAGGGTTTACGGCTCTGGGGGGAGGGGTGGGGGCTGATAAGAGTAACTCCCTGAACAAGCAGATTGTAAAGGACGCATATATGATGATGTAGGCCAGAGATGAAGGTGCTCGGAGGCAATTGGAACAATAACTGTGGACATGTGGCCTGTGCCCCTAAACCCTAAACCCTAAAGTATCTTGATACTGGCTCTTTCTGTTCCCTTGCTCTGAGGTTGCTCCGCCTAGGCATATCATCATCACCATCATTGTCTTTTCTATAGCGATATGGCATGGGTTTAGGGTTTAGGGTTTAGGGCATTGTTCTTGCGTCACGCCGGCAGTTTAGGACTAGGGTACTTAACTCTACAACCCCTTGATTGCAGTTCGCCTCCTCGCGGTTTCTCGCAAATGAAGATGTGTGAGTGGAACTCTGGGATCCACGGCGCTACCAATTTCAATGCACATATACATACGTAAGCACACGCAGACATAATAACCAAAAGGAAACTCAGAAAACAAATGAACAGACAGATCAAACACATATAAATGACTAGACGTGTATGTGTATGTGTACCTAGCCACTCGGATTCAGAATTTAGCTTGTCGGCTTGTCCAACTGGATTTGTCTGTGCTCTGATAAAGAAAGAGCCCCTGCACGCTGGGTAGGGGCAGCAAAATGCGAGGCTTACATAGCCAAAGCTTAGGCTAGCGCCCGACCCTACGAATAGGGACCATACGGGATAAGGCTTCAATACCACTGTGAGTGGAATGCGGCGTAAACAGACTACTCGCATTTATTGCCGAGCGAGTCCGAGTGACAGCCACGTCCAAGGAGCAGCACCACTTCCGTCGCTCGACAACAGTCTGGAGGGTGGTCATTGTCCTGGGTCTTCGCAGTTTTTATGGGCGCCTTAGTAACTAGAATAGGGTCTTGGGGTGTATATTAAACAATAATTATACTACAAATATATTATGGAACCTACAAGAGTAGTATACTAAAAAAATGATACTAGGGAACTCCCAAGAATAGTACAGGTACGTATTAAGGCAACCCTAAACCCCCAAACCCTAAACCCTAAACCCCTAAACCCTAACCACTAAGCCCCAAACCCTAAACCCCAAACCCGAAACCCCTAAACCCTAAACCCCAAACCCTAAACCCCAAACCCTAAACCCTAAACCCAAACCCCTAAACCCCAATTCTAGACGGCAAAACCCTGGAACTCGGGAGCCCTCGAGGCCTTTGATACGCCTACCTTTAAAGGTTAATCTTGGGGAGTATATTAGGGTTTAGGGTTTAGGGTTTAGGGTTTAGGGATCATAGAGGGATTATGGCACCCAGATTTGGGTTATATGGGGATTATGGTGCCCCAAACTGGAGTTATATAGGGATTATGGTACCCAAACTGGGATAATAGCTGGATTATTGTACCCAAAATTGGGATTGTATAGGGATGATGGTGCCCAAATTGGATACAGGGATTGTAGAACCCAACAGGTTAAAGGTTACCTACTCTACTACAAGGCCTAATGTGAAGCCCGGGCACCCTGAATGCGAGTGAACGGGTTTAGGGTTTAGGGTTTAGGGTTTAGGGTGATATGGTTTTGGGCATTCTGAATCCTCAGTCAACCCACTCCTGGGTGACTCAGGTGATAAAGTTTAGAATTTGGGTAGTTCTCTACGTTAGGGTCCCCTTTAGGATCCTGTTTATAAGGGTGCCGTTCCATTTTGGGGATGTAAAGCGGGACCCTGCTTTAGAGAACTACCCTTTTTCTGGTTTCAGCTTCAGGACTCAAGGTGTGAGATCTGGGGTTCAGGGCTTCAGTTATTTGGAGTTAGCCCTAAACCCTAAACCTAAACCCTAAACCCTTAGGTCTAGGGTGCTAGAATTTAGGACTGAAGGGGCTTCTGGCATCTGGTGTTGCTATGCCCTAACTATAACACAGAGCTCTGAGGAACACTACGGCTAAGTTTCCCCTAAACCCTAGACCAAAAAAACCCTAAACCCTGAATCAAAAAAACCCTAAACCCTAAACAAAAAAAAAACCTAAACCCTGAATCAAAAAACCCTAGGCCCAAAACCCATTCAAGTCCATGGATTCGAGATTGAAAGTTTCTTAGGATGGGTTCAGTGCGCGAGGAATCGGGTTGAGGCCTACAAGTTGGTCTCGGGGCTGTGTCTTACACCTCAACCCTGGGTTTTTGGGTTTAGGGTTTAAGGTTTAGGGTTTTTTGGTTTAGGGTTTAGGGTTTAAAGTGTTTTGGTTAAGGGTTGATTGCTTTTTGGTTTAGGGCTTTCAGGTTCAGGGTTGTCTTTGATTTAGGATTTAAAGTTTTTTGGGTTTAGGGTTCAGGGTTTAGTCACCTCTGAAACGAACACCCACACACGGAAAGCGTGCAGAGCAAAATTCGGAATTGAGAGTCTTGAAAGCCTGCCTAAACCCTAAACCCTAGACCCGAAACACTAAACCCTAGACCCTAAACCCTGAACCCTAGACCCTAAAGCCCACATCGAGAGCAAAAGCTCTGCACTGGAACCCAGTACCTGCCAGCAGCAAATATAGGGGCCTTAACAATTGCAGGATTTTGGGGCAGATTATACTTTACTGATAAAAAGGAACTCCCAGAATACGATCCATGTAGCTTGAGTTAGCCATGGCAGCTATAGCTCCTCCTACACAAACCCTATCCAGCTTGCCCAAGACATACACAAACCCCTAAAACCCAAACCCAAGGCCCTCAGCAGAGAAGAGCATTTAAATCAAAAGATCTTCGCTTATATAATCTCTTTCAGAATACAGGGGCTCCTATTTCGACCTCGAGGTTTCGCAATGTATCATACGCTAACTATAAAAAGGAAACCCCTAAACCCTATTCTAATTACCAAGGCGCCTACATTAATGGAGTCCAGGCGCGCTTGCTGCAGCCACCTAACTTCCCCAATAAGCCAGGGAAATAAAATATTAAACTTTCAGACTATACTACTACATTATAAGAACCCCAAAAGTTTAAAATGTTAAACTTTCAGACTATACTACTAAATTATAAGAACCCAAAAAAGTTTAAAGTTTTGGGTATTGGGGAGCTAAGCCACACGAAATGGTCGAAGGCATCGGCACTTGCGGCTGGCAAGGCCCAGCTGCCTAAGTCGGCTTGGTGATCGCCGCCGGAGCCTGCCCTGACCTCAATCTAATTTAGGGTTTAGGGTTTAGGGTTTAGGGTTTAGGATTTAGGGTTTAGGGTTTAGTCTAAGGACTTTAGGAGGGACCCTACTAATCCCATGACCTTAAATAACCATTGTATAGTCCTTATATACCCCTTATATAGCCAGGTAGTCTCCATATTCACCCCAATATCCTACAAGGGTCCATATTAAGCACCGACTATAAGGGGAGCCTTTCATAGGGTTTAGGGTTTAGGGTTTTAGGATTTAGGGGTTTAGGGTGTAGGGTTTAGGGATCCCTTGAAGGATCCCTTAAGAGGGATACCGTTGGTAATCATTCCGACCTCTATGTTCGACGTCGCAATTGCATGTGGCTTCGGTGTGCAGCGATCTAGGTTTCAGGGCATCATCCTAACTGGGCTTTGTCTCTGGCGAGTTGCGGCGGGAACAGCCAGAGGCCTGAATTGCAAACAGAAATCAACTCAAGACGTTACCCGAACAACTCACACAAACCCCAAAGAAAACCACAAACCCCTCAAACGCCCCAAAGCCGCAAGACCAACAAACTACCAAAGCACCCCCCAATTCCCGATTACCTCAAAGGCCCAAAAGGCGCCAACATAATCCCAAACGCCGTAGATATATAGGCATATAGGGTGTTTAGGGTTCAGGATTTAGGGTTTAGGGTTTAGGATTCAGGGTATAGGGTTTAGGGTTTAGGATTTAGGGTTTAGGATTAGGGTATAGGGTTTAGGATTTAGTATAGGGTTCAGGGTTTAAGGTTTAGGGCGTAGAGGTCTGCACTCTGGTGAGGTAGCCGTGAGATCCCCTCCAGAGTCCACAAAGAGTGTGGTACTGTAGGGGCCTTAATAATTAGAATAGGGTTTTGGGGCCCATTATATTGTATTTATAATTGTAAGAAGGAGCCCCCCAAAATAGTGTAGGTAATTTTTCAGGCACCAATACTACAACAGCCGCAAGGCCATATTCTAATCATTAAGGCCCTTACCAAACCCCAACAAAGCACCGGTTATACGCTTGTCACGCTGTTCCGAACATGCGTAAGGCCCCTGTATCAAAACAGGTAAGCACAACACTGGAAAAACAACTAACACCACAAAGCTGTCTGGAGTTTTAAAAAAAACCGGAACCCCTAAACCCTTAACCCTATAAGCCCCTAAACCCGTAAATCCCATAAGCCCCTAAACGCCTAAATCCCATAAAGCCCCTAAACCCTAAACCCCAGCAGTTGCAAAGAAGGGGCCAAAGTCTCCTGCAGCCGAACTTCCTGCTTCCTAAGGCCGAAGAAAGCATCCTCCGGGGCTTCTTCGGACGGTCGGCCTTGACAGCAGGGGTACATACATATGCATGTGTGTATGTGTGCATGTGTGTATGTAAGTATGTGTGTATGTATGCATGTTTGTTTAAATTTATAATTTTGTGTGTATATATATATACACATGCACATACACGCATGAGCCTGCAAGCTCAGCATCGTAGAGGCGAACGAAGTCCTGTAGCAAAGGCATCCCAGAAAAGCCATCAGACAGCCCGTGGCTCACGGCGATGTGGAGCCGAGATCCCATACCCGGCAACTCCAGCAAGACGGCATGCCTAGGTTCCCCAGTAGCCCCTTAATAATAAGGGTTTAGGGTTTAGGGTTTAGGGTTTAGGTTCCCCAGTAGCCCCTTAACAATAAGGGTCCCTTTTCCTACTATTTGGTTTTGATAAGGCAACCCCAAAAAGAAAAAGGGCAAAAGGGTATTACTGGGGAACCTAGATGCAGTGGCCCCGTGAGGAAGTTGCGTGCATTTCGTCCATCCAACAACCAGGCTGAGCGTTGCTCCAGTTGTTCGCGGCTTTGGCACTGGACCACCTCCACTGGCACCTGGGTAACCGTCAAAACCACGGTCTTTTTTGGCGAACCCTATATGGTGCTGCACCCTAAAGTTTGGGAAAGCTCAAAGGAGTCATAGTTACCATACTTGTAACAACCACCCACCTCGGTATCTTCTGTCTGCGTCAAGCGTGGCCAGGCCGTCCACAGCAGAAACCCCACGCCATTCAAGATCCTCGCCGGTAGGCCCGGAAACCGAGGGGCCCAGGCCCCCCGTAGTAGCACCGCTCTGGAGAAGGAGAGGTTCGAAGCGGCGTCCATGGCAAAATCCCACAAGGCAGGCGGGTCTGCAAGTTGCATGCGCAAAGCTCCGTGCTTCCGCTTCAGCTTCTGCAAGCTGCGACAGAGCACCTCCTTCTGCACTGGCTCTTTTGAGTCCAGTGCCCAGCAGACCGACAGTGAAAACATGTAGGGCCACTCCCGAACTCGGAAGTCACCATCGGCTTGGCCCCTGGTGGGAGCTAGGATTAGGGGGACCTTGGGGATATAGACCCTCTCAATAAGGTCCCTTTTAAGAGAGCCAAAAGTAGGGTTCAGAAGGGGTACCCTTTAAGGGGTACTCCTAATCATACTACCTACCTGGGCCCAGCCATGTCCCTGTGCGGTGGATCTGCAGAATCTGCACCACTCCTCTAGTTCATGGTTGGGGTAGTATTCAAAATTTAAATTCATATTCCTTATTGGGTTTAAGTATTAATTTATATTCCTTATTGGGTTTAAGTACCCTTAAAAATGTAAAATGTTACCCAACTATGGCAAAGTGTCCTCCCTGCAAGAAGCTTCAAGAAGTCCAGGACCGTGTCGCAAGCCAGGGCATCCCTCAACGAGAGCTTCGGGGCCTGCTTTCGCCGCAGGACTCCCACCTGGGCTCTGAAGCAACCAGGGAGAAAAAACTATAGACTGTTATTTCATAATAATTCCTTTAAGGAACAGATCACCCCAAAAAGTTTCAAAGTAGGAGAAAATATAGACTTTTATTCCATAAGGGGTCCTTTAAGGAACAGATCCCCCAAAAAAAGTATAGACCTTTACTTCATAATGGTTCCTTGAAGGAACAGATCCCACCCAAAAAAGTATTAAAGTATGGTATATAATGGTTCCTTTAAGGAACAGATCCCCCCAACAAAAAAGTATGAAAGTATGGTATTCCAAAGCCCAGCCGCGAGAGCCGTGAGCTTCAAAGAGTCGAATGCAGAGGCCAAAGCCATGTCAGGAGCGAGCTCGAATCCTGCCTCCTGAGCACCCTAATATAGGGCTCAAAGGTTGCAACTCAGGTTGCAATAATATAGGGTTTCGGGTTTAGGGTTTAGGGTTTAGCGGTAGGGGCCTTAATGACTAGAATAGAGTTGTGGGGGCCAGTATATTATAATTAGATTAAGGAGCCCGAACAATAGTAGTATGGGTAATTCTTTAAGCCCCTACGTTAGAAGACTTGACGGGGAGACTACAGCTTCCGACGATTTGGGGCTTTAGGGTCCGTGTCGAGATCCCCTACAAGGGCCTATAAACAAATCTCAAACTCCCCGACACATACCGGATGAGACCAGCCAAGATGCTAAAATGCTAACCCCTAAACCCTAAACCCCCCCAGGTCCTTGTCCAACCTCTCCAGAAGCTGCAACAGGGAGTAGGGGAGATCACCTCGCGACTGTCCCGAGTACTCCTCGGCCCCCGTCAGTTCGGAGACAGGCTCCACCCAAACGTACTCCAGCCTCAGCTTGGGTTTTGGATTTGTGTATATTATACTACACTATAGTTTAAGGGTTTAGGTTTCACCTGCTCTTTGTCTTCATGGGTTGCAAAAGTGGGGACTGGGTGTCGGGGTGTAGTCCACGGGACAATGGATTGCGATTTCGGCCGAGGAAGGACACCTGCCCAGCCTATCTGCCACGTGGAAAGAAGTCAACATAAACAGATCCAGTGGTAGACCCTAAACCAGAAACCCTTAAACCCTTGAGCCCTAAATTTAAACCCTAAACCCCTAAACCCAAACCCGGAATGCTTGAAGAAGGAACGGTTCAATATCAGACCTGCTCGTGAGAAGCCATGCTGTGGTTTAGGGTTTAGGGTCTTTAGGGTTTAGGGTCTTTAGGGTCTTTAGGGTTTAGGGTTTAGGGTTTTGGGTTTTAGGGTTTAGGGTGCTTAAGTTCAAGGAACCGAGGGCGCTGTCTTTGTCGGCGCGGCGCGATGTCCCAGTCCCAATCAGCGGAGCGCTTGCCGCGTAGGGCGCGAAAGGTCTTGCCACGAAGCAGGTCCATGATACTGTCGAAGACCAGCTTCCTGAATTGAACAGGGAGGGGATTCTCGAAATTAGGACCCACTGTAGACTCCTTAAAGTATGACAGTGACACAGTCGCAGAACAAACGTATGCTCAAACTCCTCAATCCCTGCATGCAGACCATACAGATGATTCAACCCAAAGTCGCAAGCTGCCGAACGCGAAGCGGGTGTAAATACCAGCCTTGGCAAAATTACGTCCTATTTTCGGGGCCTTAGCGGTTAGACGGTTAGACTAGGGTTTGGTTTATGTGTTACTATCTGATTCTTGATGGGGGCTTCAATGCGGCTACAAGGTGATGTTCTGACTGATTTTCCGACCTATATGTTACGGCCCAAAACAGGCAGGTCTGTGCAACGTTGTGCGAGCATTGATTTCGTGGACTGCTGTTGCTGTTCTACTGCTACCGCGACGCTACTGCTGCCGCGGGTGCTCCCGCTCCCTCTCCTCCTCCGCCTCCTCCTCCTCCTCACCCTCCTCCTCTTCCTCCTCCCACCCCTACTGAGAAGTAGTGCAATACAATGTAGCAGTACAGTAGTGGCAGTAGTACAACTAGTCGTCGTCGTAGTCGTGGGTAGTAGTCGTGGTCGTGGTCGTAGAAGAAGAATGAGGAGTAGTGGTAGTGGTAGTGGTANNNNGTCGTCGTCGTCGTTATAGTAGTAGGCACCCACCCCTCCCAACTACGCTTGCTCTGAACCATGTTAAGACAATATCCATGTTACTCGGAATTTATAACACTTTCGTCATGTAGGATCATCT